GTGGCCTCAAAACTAGTAGGGGATTGATGACTAAGACTGAGTTGCTAAGGTTTACTTACATGTATGAACAGGATGAAAAATTGAAATTTGCCGTTTAATTCAGAGAGTAGTGCATTTTAAAATAATTTAATGGCTGCGATAACCATGTGATTTGGAGATCTCTGAGAATTAAACGGTAAATGTCACTTTTGCATCTGGATCGTAAGTAAAACCTTAGCACCTCAGTCTTAATCATCAATCCTCTACTTGTGTCTCGTGGGACGTTAGTAATTCTGTGGTTGTTTTGATGGTATGGTGAAATTGGATATTGGCAAAGTGTCTGGTTGTTAGTCATTTTTAAATATTCCAGAATCTGCTGTTGGCAATTGGCACGGACACTACTATCGTCAGACCACGACTGAATGTTAAAAAGCAAACATTTGGGTCCAAGTTACTCGGACTAATAGCTGTCTAGGGGAAATTTAGGCCCAGGCCAAGACGGTCTCTTACCAAGACCAACTCGGACCTAGGCCAACTTCGACCCAGACCAACTCGGAGCCTACATCTGTACGTGTACATGTACATGGTAGCCCAATACAAGCCCAGACAAATTCCAACCCAACGACTTGGACCCAGACCAACTCGGATCCAGACCAACTCGGATCCAGACCAACTCGGATCCAGACCAACTCGGTTCCAGACCAACTCGGACCCAGACCAACTCGGACCCAGACCAACTCGGACCCAGACCAACTCAGACCTACATTTTTACGTGTACATGGTAGCCAAATACAGGCCCAGACCAATTCCGACCCAACCACTCTTACCTAGACCAACTCACGTAGTGGTAGCCCAACACAAACCTACATGTAGCCCAATTCAGTTTAAATAATAGAACATACATGTAATCTGTAGCGGCGAGTTGTGAAATTTAATTTGGGTTTAAATCATAGTTGTTATTTCAAAGTGTTTTCTAAACTTTAATTTATGATCACGCATACCTTTGATTGGAAATAAGTTTGTTGCGGTAAAACTGTGCGGACGTTAATTGTTCCCGTACTTTCGTAATAGCGCCCTCTTGTGATATGGTGCATTTTGTAAGGTCAAAGTGTAAATTCTTCATGATTCCGATGATTCGTAAACAATGAACGTGTACCAAATTTATCTCCCCAAATAAATGTAAAATTATCAGGTTTTCTAAGTCCCAAATGTTGTAGTTTCGGATCCAACACAATCGGTAAGCCTTGTTGATTTATTCATGGTTATAATTTATCATATTCTGAGTTATTTAGTAAGATTATTTGTAGCTTTTCAAAGTGAAGATTTATATGTTTTGGGGGTGTTTACTTACACGTACAGGGATAATGTACGCACTATGTCAAGTGAAGGCTCAAGCTCAATCGCATATATATTTGACTAATTAATCTAATGGTTTATTATGTTTTTCTGTAATTGTTAATACTAAAGTTAAGTATTGTAATTTGTGTAATTACAGTGAACCACCACCACCACCACCTCCATAAGAACCAAATACAGCAGCAATAAAGTACTACTGCCTCAGGGTGCGTTCAGAAAGGGACCGAATAAAAACACTTGTGTAGCAAATGACGTTTGCAAGGCTACATAAAAGTTCACGATTTGGGACATAGTTCTACAACTCAATCATGGCTGAGGCAGATTCTGCAAATAATTTACCTGACAACGCTGATGCGGTTAGTGAAGCCGGGTCATCCATCTCCAGAGCTAGCTCGAGGGTTAGCACAAGTTCAGTTTCCAGACGGAAAGAAGCCAAGGCCAATCAGTTACTGGCACGCCTCAAAGCAGAGCAGTTGAAGAAGAAACAGGCATTGGCGCAGGAGAAGCTCAAGATTGAACAAAGGATGGAGCAGATGGAGGTGGATGATGAAATGGAGCAAGCTGAGCAACAAGTACAGTTCTGGGAAAATGAAGTTAGGACAGAGGATGGTGTGACAGACGATCCATCCGTGAGAAACACGGAACGGAATTTAACCACCACTTCAGAGTTTGCCGGGTTGACATCATTACCTCAACAAGATGTGTCTCCATCCAGTGGTGACGACGTCCCAGACAACGTTGATGGCAAAGCAGACCTCACAAATCTTGCTCAGTTGGTTCAGGCCATGACGTTGGCTATCAATACACCAAAACCAGAGCTGCTCTCCTTCAGTGGTGATCCTGCAGACTACTCGGGGTTCATCCTCAATTTTGATGTGAATATTGCCAGCAAGGTTTCCGAAGACAGGGTAAAGTTAACTTACCTTATTCAGTTCTGTAGAGGAAAGGCTCGAGAGAGTATAGAGGATTGCGTGCTGATGGAGGAGAAAGCCGGGTATAAGTTGGCGAAGGAAATTCTTCGTGATCAATTTGGACAGCCACACGTCATCACCCAATCTCTCATCAATAAAGTCACCGATAGACAACCGATCAGGCCAAATGATGGTGCTGGACTGTGGGAGCTTGCTCGTCAGATGAGGAAATGCAAGGTGACTCTGTCGCAGATTGGGTACTCAGCAGACATGAACAGCTCCGACCGTCTCCTCAAGGTACAACGATTGTTGCCGATACATCTTCAATCCGAGTGGGCTAAACGAGCTCAGATCATGATCCAGGGTAACATGGAGCCCAACTTCTCACACTTGACTGACTTCATCGAGCAAAAGGCGAAGATAGCAAGTAACATGTTTGGCCAGAATATTGGGACAAATATTCGAGCAGACAAGACATCACATCCCAGCTTCAAGAGTAAACCAGCTAAGGTTACCACGCTTGCTACTCAAGGCTCTAATGCGGTAGGAGAGACAGCAAATGGACGAAGTCGTCCTCAGCGAGGAAACTACGTGCCGAAATGTCGCTGCTGTTCCCAATCACATACGTTAAAGGAATGCAAAGAATTCCAGCAAAGGTCTTATGACGATAGGCTGAAGTTCGTCCGAAGCAACAAGTTATGCGACAACTGTTTCCGACCTGGGCACATGGCTAAAGGTTGTATGCTGAAATCAACATGTGAAGTCAGTAGCTGTACATGGAGGCATCATACGCTGTTACATCCTCCGCACAGAGATGATAGAGGTTCAAAAGGTGAAGGTGCCAATTATCCAAGTTCCAGTTCTGCATCTGGGGCTGGGGACAAGAACCAGAGTAACACTACAAGCAAGCTAGAGAGCAGACAGCATGGAAGTGTAAACGCAACTGCAGCTTCCATGAACAGAGTGTGCCTAAGAGTTGTCCCAGTCAGAGTGCAGGGAAAGGACAAAGAAGTTCAGACGTGGGCACTGCTTGATGGAGGGAGTGATACATCACTGTGCGATAGAAGGTTGCTAGATCAACTAGGCCTTCAAGGCACAGAAAGGAACATCACCCTCGCTACCGTTAATGACGAGCACAGTGACAAGACTGGAGTTGAAGTTAGCCTCACAGTAAAGGACTTGGAGGGACGTCAGAGTGTTGACCTACCCAAAGTGTGGACTGTTGACAAGTTACCGATCACAGACAGAAGTTTCCCAAGAGAAGAAGACGTTAGCCAGTGGCCACACTTACAGGGAATAAACTTTCCTATGATCAGTGAGCGTCAGGTGATGTTACTGATCGGGGGAGACACTCCGGAAGTCTTCTGGGTCCTTGAAGAGCGACGTGGCAAGAGAAAGGAGCCATATGCTGTTCGATCTCTCTTGGGATGGACTTTGCTGGGACCTACAGCCACTACCGAGAAGCAGTTCAGTTTCAACGTAAATCACGTTTTGCTTGAAGATGACTTGCTGCTACGAACAGTTGAGAAATTCTGGGAGACGGACTTCGGCGGCAAGATGGCTGATGGTGAAGTTGCTGACTCGGTAGAAGACAAACGAGCTAGGACCATCATGACAGAAACTGTAACAAAGGTTGACGGTCACTACCAGGTTGGTTTGCCATGGCGTTACCAGAGTCGATGTTTGCCTGACAATCGCCCTCTTGCAGAGTCAAGATTACAATCATTGAAGAGGCGATTTCAAAGAGACCCCAGCTTGTATGAGAAATATAAGAAGACTCTTGATGTCTACTTCATGAAAGGTTATGCCAGAGAGATATCTTCATCAAGCCCCCAGGGTGTCAGGCCTGAGACTACCACTGATGAGCAGATTGCCAAAGGTGTAGAAACCGCAATAACAGGACAGACAGTGTGGTACTTACCTCACCACCCAGTGCTGCATCCACAAAGGCCAGGCAAACTTAGAGTAGTATACGACTGTGCTGCCAAGTACAAGGGTGTATCGTTGAACGACCAGCTGCTTCAGGGACCTGATTTTGCAAATAATCTAGTCGGAGTACTGACGAGATTTAGAGAAGAGCCTGTTGCACTGGTAGCTGACGTTGAAGCAATGTTTCACCAGGTTAAGGTGCCTGATAATGACAGCGATGCCCTGAGATTTCTCTGGTGGCCCAATGGAGATTATTCCAAGGAGCCGACAGATCATAAGATGCTGGTGCACCTGTTCGGTGCGACATCATCACCCAGCTGTGCCGGATTTTGTCTCAGAAAGACAGCGGAAGACAACCGAGGGAACTTCGACAAGGGAACCGTCACCACAGTTCTGGAAAATTTATATGTAGATGATTGTCTTGTGTCAACGAAGACAGAGAGTGAAGCCATCAGATTAGCCAGTCAGCTTATCCAGTTATTAGCCAAAGGAGGATTCAGGTTGACCAAATGGGTATGTAACAGTCGTGATGTATTGGTGACCATTCCTGCTGAAGAGAGAGCTCCATCGGTTGTTAAGTTGGATTTTGATCATCTGCCAGTGGAGCGTACTTTAGGCGTGAGATGGGATGTTGAGGCTGACAAGTTTGGGTTCGAAGCAGCTGTGAAATGCAAGCCCGCAACAAGGAGGGGTATCTTGTCAACTGTAAGTTCATTGTATGACCCCTTGGGTTTCCTCGCACCATTTATCCTGCCAGTTAAAATTCTTCTTCAGGATCTCTGTCGTCAGGGGCGTGGCTGAGATGAAAAGGTCGAGGAATGCGAGATGATGAGGTGGAAGCGATGGCTGGATGACCTACCAAGGCTGACGTGCGTTACCATTGATAGATGTCTCCAACCAAGGGAATTCAGCGACATAGTTGCCTTTCAGCTTCACCATTTTTCTGACGCGTCAGAGCGAGGTTATGCCGCTGTGTCGTACTTGCGTGTTGTTGATGTGCATTTAAAGATCCACTGCGCATTTGTCATGGGAAAGGCCCGATTGTGTCCAGTGAAACAGGTCACCATTCCTCGGCTAGAGTTGTCCGCTGCAGTTTTGGCGGTGAGGTTGAATGAGCTGATCCAAAGAGAGATTAGACTGCCTATCATGGAGACAGTGTATTGGACAGACTCCACGTCAGTTCTTCAGTACATCCAGAATGAGAGTCGCAGATTTTACACATTTGTTGCGAATCGCGTTTCAAGGATACAGAGTGGATCTGACCCATCCCAATGGCGGTACGTGGACACAGCCAGTAACCCGGCTGATGATGGCTCACGAGGATTGACTGCAGACGCCATGATCAAGAACCAACGATGGCTGAACGGACCTGATTTCCTGTTGAAGGAAGAACAACACTGGCCACTCCCACCTGTTGTAATCAAGGGGCCCTACCCAGATGTACTACCCGATACTCTGCAGAGTGATCCCGAGGTGAAGAAAGTTGTCCAGTCTTACTCCATAGTTGAGAAGGATTGTGTACAGGAATTCCTGAGTAGATACTCATCCTGGAGTCAAATGAAGCGTGGAGTTGCCTGGTTGCTGAGATATAGAGACTACCTCTATGCTCGTGCCAAGGGAAGACGGGATGCCAGCGAATTCTGTTGTAGGAGACTGTCTTTGTCAGAGCTGCAGAGAGCAGAGAGAGAAGTCGTCAAATACACTCAGCGTCAGTCGTTCCGTAAGGAGATTGCTGTACTTGAGGCTCATGCAGATGACGACAGAATAACCACCAAGAAGAGTAAGAAAGTTCCAAATGCGCTCCACAAATTGAGCCCCATTTTGGTGGATGGAATTCTCCGTGTAGGTGGACGCCTTGAGAATGCACCAATCCAACATGACATCAAGCATCCGATTATCCTGCCGAGCGATCACCAGGTGACGAGGCTGCTGATCGAACATCATCATCTCAAGGTTGGTCATTCAGGGGCAGGTATGACATGGACGTCACTAAGAGAGAGATTTTGGATACTGAAGGGAGGATCTACAGTGAGGCGAGTGATTGGAAAGTGTTTCCGTTGCAAGAAAAGAAATGCACCCCTTTGTCAACAGCTGATGGGTGAGCTGCCAGCAGATAGAGTCACTCCAGAGAAGCCCCCCTTTACGTACGTGGGCGTGGATTACTTCGGTCCACTTTACGTAAAACAAGGACGCAGCCATGTCAAGAGATACGGATGTGTCTTCACGTGTCTTACCATGAGGGCCATACATATAGAAATTGCTCACTCACTTGACACAGATGCCTTCATAAACGCTTTGCGGCGGTTCATCAGCAGGAGAGGTACACCAGAAAAGATCAGGAGCGACAATGGTACCAACTTCACGGGTGGAGAGCGCGAGTTGCGGGAGAGTATTGCATCACTGAACGAGCAGAAGATTGGAGACTATCTTCATCAACGAGGAATTGAGTGGCAATTCAACCCACCAACGGCAAGTCATATGGGAGGAGTCTGAGAGCGGATGATACGCTCTATTCGAAAAATCCTCAAGAATCTCCTTCAAGAACAGGTGGTATGTGATGAGGTGCTACTTACCGTGATGGCTGAAGTGGAGGCTATCTTAAACGCGAGACCGCTCACACAGCTCAGCTTGGACCCCCGTGACGATGAGCCATTGACTCCAAACCATCTACTTCTGATGAGACCAAGCTCCAATGCTCCATCAGGGGTATTTGTGAAGGAAGATGGGTATGGGCGGCGCAGATGGCGTCAAGCGCAATTCTTGGCAGACCAGTTTTGGAGGCGATGGAAGAGGGAATACCTACCACTTTTGCAGCAGCGTCAGAAATGGACCCAGCCAAGACGAGACCTGGAGGTGAATGACCTTGTGTTGGTTGCTGCTGACAACGAGCCCCGTGGCAGTGGCCTCTCGGTAGAGTGATGCAAGTCTACCCAGATAAGGAGGGACGAGTTCGCCAGGTCGAGGTGAGAGTAGGCACTAAGTACCTCAGGCGCCCCATTGCCAAGCTTTGCTTCTTGGAAAGAGCTAACAGCATGTGAAGTTTCATCAGTCAATGAACATTTGTGATTGAACTCTGGCCACGTGAACATTCGTGATTTGTTAATGATCAAAGAAGTTGACTCTGAATGTGATTCATGTTTTTCAAAATCACAATCATTTGGAAATTGTAGTGCATTTTATTAATCCCTGATGCTTTGAAATTGAAGTGTGCCGCTTAAAGGTGTAGAAAAATGAACAGATCGAGTCAGTTCATGGGGCTGGGGATGTAGCGGCGAGTTGTGAAATTTAATTTGGGTTTAAATCATAGTTGTTATTTCAAAGTGTTTTCTAAACTTTAATTTATGATCACGCATACCTTTGATTGGAAATAAGTTTGTTGCGGTAAAACTGTGCGTACGTTAATCGTTCCTGTACTTTCGTAATAGCGCCCTCTTGTGATATGGTGCATTTTGTAAGGTCAAAGTGTAAATTCTTCATGATTCCGATGATTCGTAAACAATGAACGTGTACCAAATTTATCTCCCCAAATAAATGTAAAATTATCAGGTTTTCTAAGTCCCAAATGTTGTAGTTTCGGATCCAACACAATCGGTAAGCCTTGTTGATTTATTCATGGTTATAATTTATCATATTCTGAGTTATTTAGTAAGATTATTTGTAGCTTTCAAAGTGAAGATTTATATGTTTTGGGGGTGTTTACTTACACGTACAGGGATAATGTACGCACTATGTCAAGTGAAGGCTCAAGCTCAATCGCATATATATTTGACTAATTAATCTAATGGTTTATTATGTTTTTCTGTAATTGTTAATACTAAAGTTAAGTATTGTAATTTGTGTAATTACAGTGAACCACCACCACCACCACCTCCATAAGAACCAAATACAGCAGCAATAAAGTACTACTGCCTCAGGGTGCGTTCAGAAAGGGACCGAATAAAAACACTTGTGTAGCAAATGACGTTTGCAAGGCTACATAATCTCTTCATTTACAATTTGGTAATTCTCATTACAGTAGCTTGCAATTATGCAGTTTGTTCGTCATCTTTGGCACAATTTAAACATGTTGAAAATCCATATTTTTATCCCTTATTGGGAAAACAACGATAACTGCCTAAATTTGATACAATTTGGAGCCAATGGCACCTTTGATTTGTACATGTGCACTATGCAAATATATTTTAGGTGCATGTACAGCTTTAAAGGTATTATAACTTGGGGAAAGAATGTGATTGTGTATAATGTACATGTAAGCTCTTAACTGTTAATGCTGGGAAAAAAATACATGCGATTCACAATAGTGCGCCTCCAAGAGTTTGCAACGCGTTGGCCAATCACAATGCGCGAAATCAATTGACCTTTTCCAAACGCGCATTTCGATGCAGGGGAGTTTCTCATGGAATATGATGGGAAGCTGATTTCCGCAGCAGAGGGCGAGCGCAGAGAGGAAACTACAGACAGTTTCTTCCGGTATTTCTTTACCAGCAGGGGCACAGCTTAGTGGTACGTAAGTTGTGAAACGGTCGTCACTCAATTTTTTTAGTTATCGGTCATCATGTTTGTGGATTAATTAATTTAGTCCTATAATTGAGCCAAACTAAGTGTACGAAAGTCTCTAAGCGTTAAATTGGTATAGCTCCCTCTAGTGATTATGACTCTAGAATATTCCAACATGATTCCAAATTTAGTCACATTTGTCATGAAATCATTCCGATACATTTCCCAATTATTCCTTCAATCAAACGTAAAATCCCAGGTTAACCCAAATTTTCCTAATCATCTGTATGCCATCCATCAGCAGCCATGCGTAGAAGCTAAAAGTTAGTAGATTTATAGATGATTTTAAGGGATATTTTGTGGGGGGGGGGGGGGGGGTTGTAATGGATAAATAACGTGGGTTTCATCACATGTTGTTTTATGGGTACATGTACGTACATTTTTGGATCTTTTTATCAAGGATTATGCCCTCATATTTGGCTGTTTCGGCACTTTTGCCGAAACAGCCTTTGTTTTCGTTAAGATTTTTATTTTTTTCTTTTTTTTTTTTTTTCTTTTTCAGTCATTTTCCCCATAGCATTTGTACACTTTTTTTGTCACCGGCACTTTGGGCACTAAAATCAATCCGATTGACTTTATACTTGGCACACACTTAGACCAGCATCTGAAGTTGTGTGCCGAACATTGACGTCATCGTGACGTCATCGACTAATTTATTATAGAATTGTGAATATTTAATTTTTCCCATAGACTTTGTACACAGAAATAAAAAAAAAATTGTTGATTTTCAAAGGGCATTTTTGACTCTTTGCCAGTAATTCATTTGCACCAATCTTTGTCCAAGCAAAGACCCTAATTCAAACAACATTGTGTCATGATGACGTCATGATGACGTCATCCGGTGTGTATTTATAGGCAATTAAATTGTGACACTTTTAATATTTAAAAATGCATAAGAAATCAACCGTATGCGTCCGCAGCATTCTGTTACCGGCAAGTGATAGACTAGGTTGAGGTCTTTATTTTATTTAGTGTGCGTGAAATCACGTGACCCTTGCTTCCGGTCGAAAAAGGCCAAAACCGGAAGTGGCTTATTATTTAAAAATGGTAATAGATATGAACTTGCTTTTAACGGTGTTAGTCTCTTGGCTAAAAGTATTCTTCAAATCATCTACCAATGACGTCATGCAATCTTCGAGCGCCCTCTAGCGACAGGTTGAAAATTTGCAAAAATGTATTTTGAATAGATGTCTGTGGCGAAGTTTGTTGGAATCGCCTAAATATTGGTGTATATGATGACCTTGACCCACTTAAGACGTGTGCGAAGTTTTAGGCGAATGACGTCATCAGACCGGAAGTTATAATAAAAAGACCCTGTTTCATTTGAAAATTCCTGAAAAATCAACCATGGCAGTTTTTATGTTAGTTTTTACTTTAATTGTCGATTTAAGGGTAGGTCTAAAACATTTCAAAGCTTCAAGGCAATAAGCGAACTCGGACATGCCCTGCGAACGCTTAAAACTTCAGGTTGACAGTACATCTGCTCTAAAACATGCACAGAACGTCTATATGTACATACACGTACGTTACGCACATACTGTACATGAACATCGTACATGTAATGTCAGTCAGCCTGCACAGCACGTGTTGCCGAGGTCAAATCCTGTCCACATCATATCACAGTGACCGTTTTAGCCGATTTTCGGCTAACTTTGTGACAGATTTTATGTTCGTGCATGCGCATAGTCAGGGACGTATAATAAAAAATCATAATGCCGAAAAGCCCTATGTTACGTAATTAAAGGTGCAGTTTTTCTGTAGTGGGATTTTCCACAAGTCTTTTCCTATACAACACTGATATCTTACTGAGTAGTTCTGAACTTCAGCCGAGAATTACTATGAGAAGGAAAGAGAAATCGTTTTTTTTTTCGCGCTGTCATTCGATTGAACATATTCCTAAGGGTCAGAATATCAAGTAATATTTCATAAAAATGTTTCAGTTCAAAGGCAAATTACAAATTTAAAGGTGCAATTTTTTCTGCTGTGGGATTTTGTTTTTAGCCCGTTAACTTTGTACACGTGTTAGCCCATTGACTTAGTACACGTTTTCAAGCCACCATTTCTATAACTTGGCGATCTAGAATCGTCATCAATGTAACAGCCAAGGAAGACCCTCATACAAAAATTATGCCAAGAATATGACGTCATGATGACGTCATCACCTAATTTTTTTTATTGATTTTTGAAAATTTACGTGCATATTATGAAGTCCTATATCTACAGAATTGTAAGTCTGATTGGGTTGAAACTTGGTATGTGGCTAGACCGGGATGTGTTATAGGTAGAAAAAAATTAGGTGGTCGAGACCTGAACATGATCTTTGCGGGAATTGATAATTAGCGAGGGTCTTCATTTTTTAAATATGTGCAAATAAATCACGTGACCCTTTCTTCTGGTTGAAACCGGAAGTGCTTTGTAATTTAAAATTGGTGAAAGACGCGAACTTGCTTTCAACGATGTTTGCTCTGGCTAAGTTGTTCTTTACCATAATATTATAGTAATAGATGAAACTTTATGTGACGTCATCATGACGTCATCACGTGACATGTGACGTCATAATTCAAAGCCCTATGCGAATGGAATCACATATTACATTTATATGCCACCATTTATTATAAACAGAACTACACATCATTCGTTGATGGAACACATGTCACATGTCACAAAAAGCTACCGAAACAGCCCTATGTTTGTCCACAAACATATGTCTAGTTAATCATTATTGCTGGTTAATTTAGTGTAATTTGGGGCTTATAATAGCTTATCTAATCCCTCAGTTTGTTAGATAATTTAGTTGATACATGGGGAAATTATTACATGAATCTTCGTCCATTTTCATGCGTTGTCCATGTCACCTCATTAATGTAGGTTCCAATATTTATTATTGTATTAATTTGGTTTCTTGTAGAACCACGGCCTACCACACGGCTTACACAACCTCCATTGCAGTTAACGGCTCCCATTCCACGGCTTAAAGTCTGCATCAGTAAATTAACCTAATCAGCTCAGCTACTTTCTTCATTATTGTAATATGAGAACAATCAGTAATTAAAGGAGAGCAAATCAACCAATCAGAGACTCGTCACCAGTCTCCTGTCCTGCCCTTTCTTTCACTAAGTGTTACGATATGTTAACTGGTTGACAGCAGTTCTTTCTAATCTCTAGATAGTGCAGGAACCAACAAAAATAGCCAGATGCGTACAATAATAAAATATTATTGTACGCACCTGGGTATTTTAGCTGAATTATTATTGCAGTCATCGGTACGAAGGCATACAATACGCTGAATAATAATAGAGAAAATAAGTCGTGTATATGCACCGTCGTTCTCAACTTTAGTCACAAAGACCACTGGCCAACATCTGCTGTTGCTATGCGCATAGCTCAACCACTGCCCTTGCCTCCCGGCCACGTGCGACCAAAGCACGTGCTTCCCCACAAAAAATCAGGGGAAAAACAGCCAGAAAATTTCATTATAATGGAAAAAACAAAATGTTTTTGCATTCTATAGCATTTGTGTGTAAAAAAGTTGATTCATTTAAAAAACCATGATTAACCCTAACAGTCCTGAATCCTCCAAAACCGAAGTATATAATTTTGCACAGGCCTTTGGGAGATTAGGGTATGGTTGCTTTGCCTTTGACAATAGCCCCAAAATGCAGGGCAGAAAGGCCAATTACAATGGACACCAAGGCCAAGGGCTCTTTTGTAAGGGCTTTTTATTTTGAGTAAAAAAAAATTAGGAACAAAATAACAATTATTGCTCTTTTATTTTATGTATACAGTGTACTTTGATTTTTTTTTTTTTTGATTGTATTCATTGCGGTATTGATGCAACATCTGAACCAACAGAGGGGAAGCAACTTGGGCGCTTAGTTAATCATGGTGATTTGAAGGAGGCCAATTCCAAGATGAAAGTCATCATGGATGGGGACAAACCAACACTCTGCCTTTTCTCCATTAAACCCATCCAGAAGGCAAAGGAAGTGTTATATGATTATGGGATCAACAAGCCTGAAATGGTATGAACACGTACTTTTACAATGTATGGGCATTAGGAAATAACATTTTGAGGGCCTGGTTAAGGCGAGGACCATTAAAATAGGGTTGCATTCAACTCACACAAACGTTCGCATACATTTGCCAATACACATCCTATAGAAAGCTGTTCATGTAGTTGGCAAATGTTTGTAAGTTAAACACACCCCAGGTCTGTTGTGACGCAGTGAAGACATGGTCGTTACACTGTTTATTCCCTTTCGCCTAATAAATACCATTTTAATGAAATGAACAGTGATAATGCTAAAAAAATTGTTGCTTTTTTGTTAGTGCTTGTGTTCTGTTAGTGTTCAGGGGCCATATATTTCAGCTAAATACACGGTACCCTGTCTCTTCAATCTGTGTTTGTATTATTACTCACATGTTGCCAGAATCTGGCCAGTTACGCAATAGGATAAACTTATTTGAACTCCTCAAATTTTCATAGCAGCTTTGAAAATTGCACAATGCACTTCCTTCCAAAATGTCTGCATTGTGTTGACTGTCTTTGGGATCGAAAACTTGGATTTTTGACCTTATAACTTGTACACCTGTAAGTTGTGTAACTTTCTTAGGACAAAACCAATAGAGGTTATGCGTTAAGGCGAAGTTAGAGGGCAAACCTTTGTATTGCCTAGATAAGCCTGAGTAAACCATTCATTTGTAATAAATTAAAATAACACACAAAACCCTCTAAGATGGCCGCAACGCATAACCTCTATTAGCAACTATTGCAACAAAGCAAGATGTTTTAATGCTCTCTTGTCAGACTACACATGGTGTTTGAATGTTATATATATTATATGGTACATACCTACTGTACAGTTGGAACACTGTACTATTTTTTAATTGTCATTTTGTTATTAAGTTGGTTTTGGTACCAGTATTTGCCAAGTCCGATTCCTGTATGATGAGTCGGAACCCGAGTCAACAGGTGAAGTCTTAGTTTCAGAACTTGCTTTGACTTATTTCTACTTTCAGGTGTCCCAACACCTCAAAATGCATCGTCTGTAGACAACACATCAGAGAATCGGACACCTTCACCAGCCATACCGGTGTTACCACCCATAGGACAAGGGGTCGTGTCACCTGCACCACCACTAATCTAATCTATTTAATATCTTGCAAAGTTTGTGGTGTTCAATATATAGGTGAAACGAGAACTACACTTAAGAGACGTTTCTATGGCCACAGATCCACAGTCAACACCCATAAGCTGGATACACCCGTAGGACATCATTTCAATCTTCCTAATCACTCAATTTCTGACACAATTTTACAGGGCATTGAGGCACTAGGAAACCACAGAGAGATTGTTCGTCTGAGTAGAGAGAAATTATGGATAAGACGTCTCCAGACCATTCAACCCCATTAGTCCGTGGGACGAGGCCTTTTTTCGCTCGTTACGCGATCTGGTCTTCCGAATTTTTTCTAATATTTCTCATTCCATTGATCAAAAATAGAAAGCGCTAACAAACCACGTTCCCACATTCCTGGGTGGTTTGGGACTTCACAAATGAATTTTAATTAACATCAAATTCGAGGTTGCAGCCAAAAAATCGTTAGACAAATATAACGCCCGAGAGAGGATACAAATCAACAAATAACGTGCAAGGTTTGTGTTGCGTCGCCAAAGAACCAATCAAATTGCACGTTCTATATACGTCGACAATTGGCGAGTCCAACATGGCGTCGTCGGAAGCAAGTACCGAGTCCGAGACCGCAGCGGAGACAGGAGGTGAAAATGCTACAAAATCATCAGTTCAGTGTCTCATGCACTTTCCGACTGGAAAGGGTGAAGTGCAGTTATTTACGGAGCACAGCTGGTCACGTTTCCTTGAGTATACCGACGTCTGGAAGGCCTTCACAAAAGGGCCGCAAGCCGAGATAGCAAGGCAGTTCATCGCCAAAACATACTCCACGTCAGCCGGTGCAAGTGTTGCCACGGATCAGCATGATCAGCCCGTCAGTATGCGGTTGCAATCTCACGATCCCAGAGAATGCCGGTCATCATCGGTGAGATACAAATCATACGCTTCCATTCACACCGAGATTGTGTAATATCATACTAACCTACCATCATGTCCATGACCAAGCCATTGAAGGGGGGGGGGGGGGGGGCAGGGGGGGGGGGCGGGGGGCTTTGAAAATTCATGGCATGGGTGGGGGGCCTGCATGCACAGTACATGTAGATTTGTATGCCTTCCTAAAACTACTTAAATGCAGTCAATGATTGTTTAACGTTAGTCAACATGTTAGTGCCTTGCAATTGTGTAGTCATGGTAGGCCTATTGGTCACGGTGGTCATGTTGGTACTATGTAAATGTAAACCTCCACATTTTTTTTTCTGTATAGGTCATGCTACAGTCAGTGGACAAGTCCAAGGTGAAGAGAGCAATTCAAGCCCAGCAAAAAGAGAAGTCTAAAGTTGCAGGTACATTTTATTTGTATAGAAACTGCTGCTTCCATTTCTATTCATTAACAAAATTGGTAACCTTCATGAAAAAAAACTGCAGGGGGAGGATGGTGTGATAAACGTATACAAGTATAGTTGTGAGATGCTGTTGATAATCTCCCTTCCCCCAGTATTTATCTGATGTCTGTAACTAATTTACACTAGAAAACTGTTGTCATAGTTCAGTTCACCCAGTGCCCATTTGAAATGTATTTTGTTTATGAAAAGACAGTCCAAAGAGTTTCATGTTTCTTTTGAAACTTTTACTTTTAGCTATAAAAACGCATTGTATGTGTAACATAGGGAGGAAAGGGAGTCCACCTGGGCTAGTGTACCATCCACAGATATATACATGGCCATTTACATGCACATGTGAATACCAGTATTAGGCCCAAGAACTGATAACTTTCTTTCCATTTATTGTAATTTCGAAAAAGGGGAAGGTTTTAATGTATACTGTTGTTTACCCTCCCCAACCGACACCCCCCCCCAAAAAAATCTCAAAAATTTAAGGAAGAAACATGACATATACCCTCCTGATTTTGTTTATTTGAGAGCAACACAACATTTTCATTAAAAAAATGGCCTTCTTTCAATAAATACAACCAAATAAATAATAATTACATGTAAACAGTTGAATAAGATTGTATTTTTTGTTTCGCTCCTGTATTCTAGAAACTGAAACAGCCAAAAAGGTTCCCCACCCCCTGTGAAAACGAGAAGACTCCGTTCAGCCACGCAAACGGTTTCTAAGACTGCAGCAAGATCACAACACATTTTACCCAAACAGTGCATCCTTTGCAGGAAGGGGAAGTGTGTGACCTGCCGAGTTACAAGGAAGAGCTACAGGCAAGAACCCCTGAACACATGTACTACCCTACAGGCTGAAAGATTGCTACAGGCGGCGGAAGACAACAACAATGAAGAACTTCTTATGCACATTGTCAAATCCAAAATGGATGTGCTCAGAATTGTTTTGGTGCATTCGTGTAATTGCTCTTATTGTTTCTTGTATTTGACACTTATACATGTACTGTAATTGTAGAAATTCAACTGAGGAAGTGCCATTGCATTGGTGTTGTCAGAATAATTGATATCTGTGAAAACACATTGTTTACAAACTGGCATTTAGAAAACTTATTTTTGTTTTAATTTCTTTTTCATGAAGGCTGTTAATCAAATTGGCAAAAAGGTACATGTAACACTGCATAAGGTGTGTTTGAAGTTGTATTAAACACTTATGAGTGTTAGATATGGTGTATATTGGGATTTGGGGAATGGATAGGGCCAAAAAGGAAATAATCGGTTGTATCGTTTAAAACAGAAGTACAAGAAACAAATGTATACTAGATGGTTTTGAATCCAAGTTTTTACTGAGAGTGGAATGCCTGCACACCTTAAACAATTTTTGTAAAGTTATATGCTACTGGAAGCTGTTCTTTTGGGGCTCTTTCTTCTGAGGAGGATCTTTGTAATTTAATTGTTTGAGGTACCTGCCGTCCTTACTCAAATTGTTCATTCAAGAAAACAACACTAACTGATTAAGATTTTTCCATCTGTGTATTTCTTTTGGCTGAATGCAGTATGTCATGTACAGCACATCAAATTTGGAATAAAAAAGTTATATAAAACAGCATTTGGATCGTATTTGTTATTTATTGTTTCAAATCGTTCTTATCCAATTTAATCTAAATTTAAATCAATTTAAGTGTGACACCTGCCCCATATTAATGATGATCATGCGTTTCAGCTCACTAACAGCCATTCAGAGAAGATTGACTGATTAACAGTTTTTTGTGGGATATCATAACAAAGCAACTTGCAAGTTCTCTCAAAATGGATTTGTCTGGGGCTCATTGGTTTTACACATTATTCCTTCATAAAGGCTTGTTATTTACAAGATATTTTATAATAAAAGGAACTCCCTGGTTATTTAAAATGAAATTAACTGTAATAAGCATCTTGCTTTAGAAATTATTACAAATAAAAAGGCTAGAATCTAACATTAAACAAATGTTCAGCAAGACGGGCGAACCCGCCTCGTGCGCGCATGCATTGCGTGTAAAATGTATAGTTGCTGTGTCAAAAGAGGGCGCTATTTCTTTCTTTTTATTTTTGCACAATTCGTGCGTGTTTTTGTCGTATAATTTCTCATTCCCAAACAATTCGTGGACCGGGGAACAACGTTTTTCTGATATGGTACACCATAATCTACATATCTGGCAAGTTTTATAAAATTCGGCGAACCAGATCGCCTATCTCTAAAGCGTTTTCGGGCTCTCGTCCCACAGACTAGTGAGCACGGCGCAATGTTTGGCCAGCCAGGCGGAATGTTGGCGGTGCCAGCGGCCGTGATGTTTGTTAAGCATAAAGTGGAATCACCGACCTCAAATATATTTTTAATTAGGTGAGGCAAGTTTTAGTCACTTTTGAAAGCCAGTCTTGATAATTTTCGTGGCGCAAATGAAAAAAATCCAGGCACAAAATAAACATGATTCCTTGCTCTTTGATTAGTACGACTGATGCTCCATTAATCAGCACCCCCAAAAAATTGGGGAAATAATTTTCCGACCTACTGACGCTATTTTGAAAGGCATGTAATCGGAAGCAAAAGTTGTTTTTTTTCTCCACCTTAATTTCTTAATTTGAAACTAACATGTAAATGTAATTCATACTTTTCTTGTTAGGAAGCAGTGAAATACAGGTTGTGAAATGTTAATTTGTTTTTAAGTTAACAACTTTGATTTTTTTTTCTTTAATTACAACAATATTAGTGGCCTACAAGATCTCCTCTGAATTTCAAGGACAAATCTTAAGATAGAGACCCCCAGATTTGCTCTAAAATGCACCAGAGAGCTTCTAAAGCTCAAACATTTTCGGGTTGTTAATCATTTGCTGTGCACAGCAAATATTCCCCCACATGTTTGAAAAAAAGCCTGGGGAGAACCCTGGCCGACAAAACCAATAAGTTTGGATTGAAATGTATCGATTGAATATCTTCAAAAAAATGACACTACATGCATACAACATACAGTGCACTGTGTCAGGGTACTGGGATGCATGCGAAGGTTTTGGCATGGGTTTGCAAGATTTGGTACTAGCACGCATGGCAATATACAATTTTTTGCATTTTTTAAAAATGCATTACAAAATAAAATGCCCTCACCTTCACGCACGTGTAGATCAATTCAGATATGAGTTGCAATTTAGGTGGATAACAAGTGTCGCTATGTATAACTACGCGTGTAGTACGAGCGTAGCCTTTTATCACTTACAGGTAGGATTCAAAACCGGATATAGGTTTGGATTTAACTATACGGTTACAAATTCCAAAATACTGTTTGCCAAATGCCTAAGCAACATATAAAAAGTGTAGAATACTATCATTATCCTTTCTTGGATCGATACATCGTCTGGAAAAGCTCTTTTTTTCATGAACTGTGTTCGGCTCTTGGTTTGAGTGATTAACTTTCTTAAATCACTGCCAGTCTAGCAGATTATCAAACTGCACTAGCCCGGCGGTCTAGTGATTTTCTTTGCCCCAATTTTTACTCAAGTA